TATGAAGAATAATTATTCAAAGGTTCTATCTTCGATTCAAAAATTTAATACGAACATACATAATATGGTTCTTCGAACAGTTAATTTAGATTTAATTCATTTTAAAGAGATAATGAATTAAATTTAATCAACCAATCGAAAAACGAAAATAGAAAACGATTCTTTATTGATTGAAATAATATCCAATAATAGATTTTTACTAGTGTTAAGATTCTATCTCATTACCTTTTCCTTTAAGATATCAATTATTTTTTGTTTTAACGTGTGCCAACGTTAATACTCTTAAAATGCTTCGATTTCTTGGTTCATATGGTCGGACAGTGTTATCTACATATCCATCAACAGCAAATACTCTTTTAAGATCAATACGTCCTCTTTCTAATCATCATAAAATAGCTCAGCCTCAATCGTCTGATGATAAAGTAAGAAAATTCTACATCGGAAATCTTTTATTTTACATTGATTATCTTCTATCATGTAGTCAACAACTCGTCAAGTTTCGTCACCTGTAATACGTAAAGTTGATGTAAAAAAATTATTTTCTGAAGAACAATCCCAAGAAGTTTCAATTCCAACAAGTCCTCGTCGACCAAATATTCTTCATTCTTCTTCATTTGCGGATCCATCACGATTAACATCAACTTTATCAACTAAAAATCGATATGAAAATGATATATCCAATGTAAATGATTATGAAGCTGAAGAACAACGACGACAGTTAGCACGACAAACTCAAGTTAAAATGCAAGCAAAACGAGATACATCTCGCAAAACAACAACAAATAAAATCAATATTGAAACAGTATTCAATAGTTCAAAATACATTTCCACGGAAAAAAAATTTAAAACAGATAGTACTGATAAATCCAATTTACAAAAACCACAACAACCAAAAAAAGAAAGATCATTAACAAAACAATCCGATGAAGTAAAAATCAAAATATTTCCTTAAGCGGAAGGCTTCTCTATAATATATTCTCATGTTTGCCGAGAGTATCTCCAAGTTTCGGAATATTACAATATCTTTTGTGTTGAGTAAGATCGAACAGGAGTTATAAGATTTGAAAAACTTGCTTATTTGATATCGGTAGAAAAAGTAATCCTTATCAAGTTTCCTACTCTTACAATGCTTATCATTAGTTTATAATGAAACTTTTAACCTCTATTTTTCATGGCATGCTAGACATCACTCTCAGATACATCTTCGAGCCTTCAACTTCAGAAAAACGACATTTCTTCTAAAAGAAAAGCAATACCAATCCATAGAGATAAATTTTCATGAATAAAGTTTTTCTGAAAGATATTGTAAAAGTAGAGAATCTGGTAAGGATTACTTTTTTCGCTGACATCAAATAAGAAGATTTTGAAAATCTCATAAGTCCTATTAGATCTTACTCAACCTAAAAGATATTGTAATATTCAAACAATTAGATTTACTCTCGGCAAACTAACCAAACTTGAGGGCATGTAGTAGTGTAGCGAAGAGACAACCCCTTTTAAGTATAAAGTTTTCTTTCATTCTATATTTTTTTAGTCTTCTAATCCGAATGAATCTGAACGTAAAAAATCGGATCCAATGCTTTCAGCAAATATAAACGAAGCAAATACTGTGGAAGATTTAATGCTAATTTTTGATAAATATGTTTTATCAACAGAATTTGCATTAGGTTTACAAAAAATGTGTCAATTAGCATCAATGGAAAACAGCAATGCTACTCAAATCTATGGACAATTATATAATGCTCGAAATCGTATGGAATCACTTTTAATTAGTTTTGTATGTTATTAAAAGAAAAAATAAACAGAGAGATTTTATAGAAAATTATTTTCTGTTTTTTTTTTATTCTTTCTAGTTAGGTAAATTTAGTGATCATGAAGTAGTAACAGCTATTACATTTGTTACAAAGTATTATCCTGAAGATAATGAATTTACTGATAGATTTTCTCTTACACTTGCTAATCGTTTAAGACGTATTAGTGTTCATCAAGTAAAATATTTTTCTTTTTCAGTTAACTTTTTGTTTTTAAAAATGTTCTTTATTAGATTGTTCGTATATTAGAAGAATTAAAATCTTCTCGCCATACAACACAATGGATACATCGAGTTTATAATCGTCTTTTAGCTTTAGCTGAAGGTCGTTATTTTGAATTTGATAATATACGTGATATATTAGCATTAACACATAAATTATCGTATAATGATCGTTTAATAAATCGTTTAGATGAAAGAATTTTAGAAATAAGTGATACATTAACATTTGATGATTGGTTTAAAATATTAGTTAATAAATCAATGTTAAAAAGACGTGATAGAACTATAATACGTGCTGCTTGTTATCATTTACTTAAATTAAGTGAATCATTTTTATTTCCATTAGATAAATTAAAAGATTGTCTATTAGCATGTGCGATGTTAAATGTATATGAAAAATCATTTTTAGAACGATTAATTCGAGATGCATATGAACAAATTAATAATATTAATGATCCATTTATAGTAAGTACATTATATTTTATCAACAAAAAAAAAATATATCATGTTTTCGAATATAATTGTATGAGACTACAGATTTGTCACTTGTATTATGGGTGTTTTGCAAATAGATCAATCAAACTAAAAGATAGATTTAGGGTTAGTGCTATGATATTGTACTCATCCTTCTATTAGCTTCGAAGATTTATTTCATTGTTCTATGTAGCATGGGAACCGAGGGAGCAGCACTTCTCTGAAGATCGGATTGGTCTTCCCGGATTTTATGGTTATTGAACCATGTACTATATGCTTGTATTCTCAAAAGAAGGTGTTCGCTTTCCCAGAGTTTTAAATTACCACTCCGAAAGATAAAACACTGATTTGTTTATTTGAAATTTTACGATAAATCCTAAAATACATCTCAATGTTCATTAAAATGATATTAAAGAAAAGGATTCACTATTTTGACCCCGTTGATCATGTCTTATTGGATATGCAAGGGATATAGTCACGACTGCATGGGTCGCACTCTAGCAATAAGGTACTTCAAACTTATGGTCACCAATAGAAAATAGTTTGAAGCATTATGCTAAGGATATTTTTACTAATTAGAGAACACAATCAGACATTCAAGTCGTTTTTATTCCATCTTTTTTGGTCATAAACATAATTGGACAGAATTTGTTCCCTATCAAGTTATAACTCTTTTTTAAAGAGCTTGTCACCTATTGCCAAGTATTTCAGAAAAACTCAAATAACATAAATATTTTAAATCTGATATTTTGCTCGTAAATAAGTCTTAAAATCACCAGGATAATTCATCATTTTTCCTTAAAATAATATCGAAATCATTGTTTTTTAATCGATATTCATTGCAAACAAGTTTCTCGAAGATATTATAATTGACAAACTTAATTTTTTTTCTAGTTTCAATCAATTGTAACTTCAATGGGTACACTTCGTTTACGTCATTGTGAATTACTTGATTCTTTTGGAAGAATAATTTTAGAAGAATCTAATTTATTTTCATCATCAAAAAATAAATCTATACAATCATTTATACGTACATGTGCTTCTGTTAATTATTCTCCACCGACATTATCGAAAATAGTTGATAATCATTTAAAACTTGATGAAAATATTACTGATGATAATAATCAATTAAATGAAATAAAAAGTCGTATTGATCTTGTTTGGTCACTTGCTATTTTAGATCAAGCAAATCAAAATCATCTATCAGTTGTTCTTAATCAAGATATATTTCAACTTGTACAAAGTATAAAAACATAATTCATTTTTCCTTTTTTTTGCTTACGAAAAAAAAATAAAAACAATAATTTTAGATGAAATATCAAATTCAAAAATAGCAAGTGCACTTAAATTACTTACAACTTATTCATATAGTTTACAAAAATTTTCAAAAAAATTTCCTAAACCAACATTTAATATTGAACAACTTGCACAACAATTAACATTAAAAAATTCTAATGCACAAGATCAATTAGCTAAAACAGTTGTAACATTTGCAACTGAAAATAAATATTCTAAATTTAATGTTGTTACATCAAATATGATTGTTATTGGTATAAATTCTGTTCTTTTTTTTTATATTAACTATTTATTATTTTATATAAATACTTTTATTTTTAGATTGTTTAATGGTAGTAGATAAAGCAGGTACACCACAAGATTTAAATACTGTTTTAACTAATGGAGATAGTAATGGTAATAATGGACAAACAACATTTAATAAAATTCGTATTGATGAAAATAATTTCAAGTAAGTTAATTAATCATTATGAAAAAAACTACAACAATACAATCGAATATTTGATGTTTCTATAAATAGAATTGCACTTAAATGTCTTGATTATCAAGATAAAACACTTTTAACAAAGTCTATCTCGGGTTCTGTAGCATTACAATTAAGATTATTAAATTCACTCGGATATAAATGTGTACCGGTATGTTTCGAATTACAACAAACAAATGATTTTCTTTTTTGATACTTTTTTGTTTTGTTTTAATAGATTGATTATGATGAATTTATTAAAATTCAAGTTTTAAATGATAGAAGCAAATATATTCAACGTAAAATTAAGGAAGCAATTAGTTCATCATCATCATCTACTTTAGATCATCAAGCTGATATATCTGCTACTCGGAAAAATAGTGAAAATGTACGATTAAATTAAAAAACTTTATTTGTATAGTGATCTGTTTATAACAGACACATGTTTCCCGTTTTTCTTTTCTTTTTGTCCTTTTTCCATTTGCTTGCTATGGTTTTGTTGGTATTTATAGGAAATAAAAGTTAAAGAAAATAAAATATCTCATAATCTTTGATAGACAACGCATTTTTTATTTGATTTTTGTTCTCAATTAAATTAAATAAATAAATACACGCCAAAATCTTATACAATAAATAAATAAACTCATTGAAGTATACTCACAAAAAAAAACATGAAAAGAAAAAAGAACGCGATTACATAACAAAAGAAACAAACAAAAAAGGAAAAAAAAATTATCAATCTTCATCGTCATCATCGTCGTCTTCTTCATCAGCTGTTGTATCATTAGCAGTTGTGGTAGCTAAAGCACTTGAACTAGTTACGGTATTACCGTTGCCAGTCGTATCACCATCCTATATAAAATAAAAGAATTTATTATAGGACTTTTTTTTTTTATTAATCATTATTATTTTACCTCATCGTCAGATTCATCATCATCATCTTCATCCTCGTCATCATCATTACTCGTAGTATTCTTTTGTTGTTGTTGTTGTGATGGTTTTTGTTGTTGCACTGGTTTAGGTTTATTAGATTTTTTTTGAGATGTTGAAGGAGCAAGACTTTTTTTAACGGGTGGCATACTTTTTTTCTTTGTACCGTTACTAGCCGTGGATCCTCCTGATTGCACCACCAGTTGACGTCCTTGAGTACCACGTTGTGATTCCATACTACCAGCATTTTCATCATCACCGTTTTTTTTTTTTGGTAAAAGTTCCGAACGAATGTTAGGCAAAACACCACCTTGTGCTATGTGGATAAAAAAAAGTAAAATTTATTATTAAATACAAAAAACTTTCTTCGAATAGAATTTACCAATAGTTACGCCGTCGAGTAATCTATTTAATTCTTCATCATTTCGAATAGCTAATTGTAGATGTCGAGGTATGATACGTTTTTTTTCATTATCTCGAGCGGCATTTCCAGCTAGAAATATATTTCAATAGAACAAAAAAGTTGATTTGGTAAAATTAAATATAAATAACAAACCTAATTCCAGAATTTCAGCAGTTAAATATTCCAGAACAGCAGCTATCGAAAAAAAAACGACAATGAAAACAATTGTAAATATGAAAATCATTCTTACCCAAGTATACTGGTGCACCTTCACCAATTCGTTCTCCATAAGAACCTTGTTTGAGATAACGATGCTAAACAAAAATTGACAAAGATCTCGAACAATAAATAATAATAAAACAAAACTTACTACTCGACCAACAGGAAACGTGAGACCAGCACGACCACTACGTGTCGATTGTTTTTCTTTACCTTTGCTTTTAGCTGAAGATATTGTTGTATTACCTCGACCGGTCATTTTTTTTTATTCGTATGTTACTTATCGGTAGAATAAAAAGATTATAAATGTGTGTATGTATATATATATGTTTAGATCGAAATGGTGTTTACTTCGACGACGATTTGGTTCGAATGATCATATAACTAATAGACGGACTAAGACGGTTAAGTTAGATAAAGAAGAGAAGAATGAAATGCCACATGCATATATCGACATCTTGCCCATCCTTTTGCTTTTCATCTTGGATAAAAACAATGAATGAATTATATCGTCTATATAGAAAATCTCTAGAACGATTAACTTATAAACACAATTTAGAAAATGAAATGTATCTGAAATTCAGCGTTACAGCGCGTAGATAAAACGAAAATTGTTGTTGTTGATTTTTTGTTTAATTTATTTTGAATGAATGAGCAACGAGAAATGTAATTCAACTAATGTTTCATTAAATAATTCGAAAGAATATTTAACTATATCAATTGAGCCTGATATTCAATTATCAGATCATGAAGAAATTTATTTAGATCAATGTCTTTCATATCTATTTGATATATGTCATATACCAATTGTTTTAAATTGTACACTTTTATCTGTTTCATCATTTTCAAATTCAACAAATATTAATCGTGAATCAATGCGTATAAATCATTATTTACGTGTTCGTCAACCACGTAAATTTTATTGGATGCGTAATATAAAACAGATGTATTTAAATTTACGTTTACCAACAAATAAAACTGAACAAATAACAGCTAATCTTATTGAATTTCATTCATGTAAACGATTACCTTATACAGCTCGTAGTATAATTCAACAAATAAAACCAATTATATTAGTTTATTATATTGAAGAACGTTCATTAAAATTAAATATACGTGGAGATAATTGTTTACTTCAATTAATATTTTCTTCACATATGAATCAAAATGAACAATTACAAAAAGGTATTTATTATAAATGGTCAGATGAAGGACATATACGTTCAACAACAATTCAATTTAATATTGATTATCTAATAGAAAAAAATCATTTGCTTATTTAATACAATCGATTTATATTAAATCAATGCTTTTCTTTTTTATTTTCTATTAGAGAAGAAAAAAGAAAGATGAGTAAATAAAAAAGAAGAAATAACAAATAGCTAATTGAATAGATTGCAAAAGAAGAAAAAAAAAGGCACATAAAAAAAAAGAAGTTTTGTTTTTGAAGCTTCTTAGAAATAAATTCTCGCTAATCTTCTTCGTTCTTTTTTTTTCATTATAATTATAATGTACCTAAATTTAATAAACTTTTATCCATAAAACGACGACGAACAAAACAAAGCCACCACTAAAATTTTATAATAGAAGATTTGAATTTTTTAAATTGAAAATTTATTCTTGTTTATTTTTTTTACTTTTGATGGTTTATCTGTTTCGGAATCAATAACACGGTCAACCATACGATCACTACATTCTTTACGTAATTGTTCAAGATATTGTTTCATTTTATCTAAATGAAATTATTTAAATTTTTGGTTTACTTAGTATTCCGTCTTATTTGATAATTTCTAATTTGAGTCCTTTTTAGAGCTCATCGAGTTCAAAATTTTTGAATCTGATTAATAGAAAATTTTCAGATTGAGACTCGAATCTGACTAAACTAACTTAATAGGCTCTAATTCTTTCTCAATATCGTTTCTAATATTATCAATCGCCATGATATATGATAGTATTTAAAATAGAAGAAAATAATCTGTATAATTAAGAATAACAGGAAAAATATAAAAGTCATATCAATATTTATAATGCACAAGCATTATATATAAATAATGAGAAAAGAAAAATTAAAATTGTTTGCTTTTGTTTCTTAAAAGAAACTTCGATTTTATGGTTTCATCGCATTAAATTGCTAACTGTAAATTTTGATAATTAAGTATAAGTACATTCTATGTTACTTGTTTCTCACTTTTCGTATTCAATATGTATGTATTAACAATGATCGCTGACACCGATTTAAGTCGAATTATTATATAGGTTCTGATCAATTAATGACTAATCATGAAGATAAATGAAAACTTATCATCTCATTCTATTGTATGAATCTTTACCGCATTGAGAATGGACCCCTATGGACATATCATCGTATGAGACAAAATCAAGAAGTACCCAAATATTTTTATGAAATAATTAACAAGAAAACTTACCAACTTCATCAGGTGGTGGTTTTGTAAACATGCCGTTAAGTGGAAATTCTGAATCACCTGGAATAGGAAATGTTGATATAGCCAATGCTGATAATTCTTTTTGTGCTTGAGTACGCGATTGGCACTTCAAATGAATTTATTTGTTTGATTTAAAATGGAAAAAAATGAAAAATTTGAACTATACCTTTTGAAGACGTCTTAAACATTCTGTTATATACAATGTTAAATAAATTAATGTTCGATCGGCATCATGCTTTATTAAAAAAATGAATTAATAATTAAATCGAATAATCGACTCAACTTACTTTAATATCATAATTACGAAAGAAAATATTTGCTCGAAAATATTTAATTGCCTCATCAATAATATCTTCATTGTCAGTAGCTAAAGAAAAACAATATTAAATTATAATTAACAAAATATAGGTTTGTTTTCTCAAAAACTAAGTTAACGGTAAAAATGAACTTCTGTGAAAATATTAAGATTTATATCCTTGATTAAGTCATGATTTTATCGTTGTTAGGCCGCAGTTGTTGAGTGACTATATAGTTCAACACTATTCATAAGGTACCATGTGCAAACATTAGTAGCACAAGTCATGAAATAACCTTGGACAAGTCACTAACGATTATTTTTCTTGGAGAACTCGTTCAATAACACACTGACTGTGTTGTGGCATATACTTGCTTCTTTGGCTAATTAATGTGTATGAGAAGCTCAAGCAATTGAGCGCAAGAACTCTGCGTCAGACTGATTTTCTGTCTAGAGCTATAGCTAGTCACGGTTGTAGAGAAGATAGCGGATTATTGCATCTGCTACGAAGTAGCTGAAAGACAAGAGTCTTCTTCTTCTTCTTCTTCTTCTCTATCATTTTTTGATGTAGTGTTTTATATAACCATAAAGAATCGATATTCACAGTACTTTGAAGGGCCGTTCTCACAATGAAGTTTGTTATTTGTATTTTCATTTTATTATATATTCAACTTTTCATATCCATGTTTAATATTCATTGGGTCCGTTTCTAATGAATCTGAATTTATTCTAATGTAATGTGACATTCTTTCTTCATGCTCACAAAACTATTGATTCATTCCGTAGTAATGCGATCTTTAAGAAAGTAAAAGAATGTTGAAGTATAGGAGTAAACATTTGGACCTATTCACCCTCTTTCCCATAGACTTGACAAACATTGTTGATATACGATTACATATTGCATTTCTCAAGCATTAAGGAAAAGGACGATGAAGAAATGTGTCACGAAACATCCCAGAGGAATTGCGATAACAACTTTTTTGCTGAAGTTCTTCGATCTCTTTGACTTAGTCTCTCAAAAAAAATAACCTAGTGCCTTCAGACAACTTTTTCTAGGCAGTAGGGGTAAAGCTGGTGAAAACATTTTGTAAAACATGCGATGATAGAAGATAACATGCTATCGAAATCATCGGGACAAATGCAAAAAACAACAACAATCTGTTCTCACCACCCGTTTATCGTGTTTGAAAGTATATTCCTAGGTTTCTCGATTTGCATAGTATTGATAAATGTTCAAGTCATATCTTACATGTTTCAGTTGGAGCCGGACCACTATAACGTGTTCGAATCGGTAATAAAGCCATATTTCCTAATCGAAACTTGCTATTGGCAAACGAAGAATGATAAGCCTTAAATAAACATTTAAATTTTTAAACAAAAGATTACAATTTATATTGTACCATTATTTTTGTTTTATTTTGTTATTTGTTCAAGAAAAAAAATCTAGAAGAAAGTGAAAGAAAGTCATCGTACCAAGGCCGATTTTTATGAGAAAAAAAAACAAGATAACGAATAAAGAGAAAAGAAAAGTGACCGAAAGCAAATAAAATGAGAAAGAAAAAACACAGATATTTATAAACAAGAGACAAAATCTAATTCCGAAACAAATAAATAAATAATTAAAAAATAGAACTGAACACATGTTCAAGAATTAACAAATCAAGTTTTTAACAAATCTTTTAGAAAAGTTGATGATGATTCTAGATTTGCTGTTGTTGTTGTTGTTGATGATGATGATGATGATGGAAGAGGAGGTGGATTAATATTAGTTATATTTTGTGAAATATTTGATGTCGGTAAAACAACAGCAGATGATTGTTTATTAAAATGTAAATATGAAGAATTAATAAAAGGATTTGGCGATGTAGATAATGATGATTTTCTTATAAGATGATGACCACCAGCAGCTACATTACTATCATGTCGATGAAGATATTCATCGGTATTAAATTTTGCTGTTGGATGTTGAGGATTATTAGTTGATTGTTGATCAACATATTGAATTAATAATTCAGTAAATGACTAAAATAAAAAAACAAAGTAATAAATAAATTTTTCAAAAATAAAAATTTCATTTTGTTTAATTACTTTATTCGGATCATAAACTGGAGTTTCTGATTGTGTTCTTGTTCTTGCTGCATTGGATCCTCCTCCTCCTCCTCCTCCTGCTGGATTTCCACCTAACCACCCGGTTAACCAACTTGATCCACCTTTCGGACTATTACTTGGATTAGTTGATTGAGCATCAATAGCTTTTTTATATTCATCTTGTGTAAAACCAACTAATGCACCTAAAAGGGGGATTACTTCTTGTCGTTTATTAACAGGTGTATGAAAATAAGATAAAAGTATATTTTTCACAAGTTGTTTTTCAACACGCGAACCACTTGTTGATTGTAAATCACGGAAATTATATTCATATTGTTGAATTTGTTTATCTTTATCCTGAATTTCATTACGAAGTGTATTTATTAATAAATCTTTCTTTTCTATTTGATCATTTAAACGCTGTGCAGCAGATAATGCTTCATTATATTCAGCTAAACGAGTACGAATTTCATTATTTTCATTTATTAAACGATTTGCTACTGCAGTTTGTTCACGTAATGCATCTTGATATTGACGTAAATGTTCATTGCTATGTTGCTCACGTTCTAAAACAAAATAATTACTCAATTTCAATCATGAAAGACAATAGAAGTATAGTTAATTAACAGTTCGATCATATAACTTATGGCGTGAACATGTTGAGACAAAATTTACTTTCATTTAACAACAACTGATTACGATTAGTAAGAATCAAACTTTTTCGCTCTTTCCAAATATTTGTTCAAAATCTTCTTGTAGAGTAAAATTGAACAACTATCATCAAACTATGTCAAAAGGTATAGAATAATATTTTTGTCAAATTTTTTATTTCGATTGAAACATGAAATTCAAAATCCTGAGTTTTAAATAGTTGTCTTTCAATGGTAGAAAATTAAGTGAATATTTTGTGTCGAGAAAACATTTAATACATTGAAATAGTCTCATCATATGAAGTTATTCATTGATGCACCCTAACGGTCTATCGAAAAGTTTTTGGACAAAATGTTTGCTCATTTTTGACTCTCTTAAAAGAATTCTAGACAAATGAAAAACTATGGATTAGGATCAGAATTTTGTGCTCTTTCCAAATATGAGCTCAGAAATTGTGTATCTATTTTTATCCTAGAGTACTGATGGAATCTTTGAACGTTATGAAAAATTGATGTGAGTGGCGAAGAAACAGACATTTTCAATCTCGGTTCGTTTCTTTGCAAAGGTACTAAAAATGGTTCAATTTTGTAATTTTTCTTTACAAAATATTATGGCGAACTTAAATGTAGCTTTTACATAAGTGAAACTATAACCATTTTTGCAAGAGCTACATCGACCTAAATTGAATTTTGATCAAAAAAACGATTTTTCAAAAATGTGGCTGATAAAAAAATAACACTTTAGGTATTTTATCAGAGCAAAACAATTAACTCAAATGCCACATTTTGTAGAACAAATTTTGCTCTACAAGCTGATATGTGAAGAAAAGTTTCAGCATTTAGTTTTGAATACCTATAGTGAAAATACGAAAATGTACGAAGAAATTTTCCGTCCAAACTATCTTTTTAGGACGTTCAAAGGTTTTCTCTCTACTCTCAAGCACAACCAGATACACAATTTCTGAGCTCATATTCGGAAAGAGCACAAAATTCTGGTCCTAATCCATAGTTTTTCATTCGTCTAGAATTCTTTTAAGAGAGTTAAAAATGAGCAAACATTTTGTCCAAAAACTTTTCGATAGACCGTTATTGAATGGAAAACAACACTTTGGCGTAAAAATGATTTTCATGAAAATGCTTCATGACTATGTAATCATACGAAGTAAATAACGGAAAATTCTATTTCGAGAAATTGTTTTCTATTTTCTAAAAATTTCATGTGTTCGCAGTCAAATGATGATGATTGGAACATATGTAACAAAAAAATTGAATTGATTAAAGTAGAAAATAGGAAAGATTTTAACAGTACTAAGAATTTTTTTATAGTAAGCGTTCGATGAGTGGGATTTACAGTTGAAAAAAATAGAATCAATCGACTATTTTGAATTGAATTTGTAACTAAAGTAAAAGGAAACAATAAATCGATATGATTTTCTAGCAATACCAATAAGCTTGAGACATTTTGACCGACTCATAGGACCTCTTATATTCTCCCTCTTGAACATTCATTACTTTTTGCAATCCACTAAAGCATCATCTATTTTGTACGTTTATATATTCGACAACTTCACTGTTTACAAAAAAGAGAATTCATTTTACTATTAAAATGGTAACAACTATTTATGAGCACAACCAATCATTTTTGGTTCCAATCTTGAAATAATTTTATCCATATCTAACTCTATATATATAGTTCAAAGGATCTAATTGTGAAAATTCATTGATTTAAAATTGAAAATAAAATTAATCTATTTACCTCGTTTAAATTGTTCAAGAACATTTTGTAAATTTTGTGAACATTTCATTTGATATTGTAATTGATTATTTATATTTGCATTAAATGTTTCAAGTTTACTATATTCATATTTTAATGTACCTAATTCAGTAGCTAATGCTTGTTTCGATTGTTCACCACTTGTATTAAGTTGTTGTATAAGTTCATTTTGTGCATGATTTGTATCATCTAATTGTGCTATTTGATTTCTTAATGATTTTTCTCGATCTTCAGCAGCAATTAAATCTATTGTATATGATTCTTCCATTTTTAATAAATGTGTACGTAATCGTTCGATTTCATTTGTTAATTTTCGTTCACGTTCTTCATAATGTAAAAACTAAAAAAGAAAAAAAAATACAATAAAAGGAACAATTTCGTTTTTTCAAAACTAAAAAACAATCAAACTTTTTGTCTATTTAATTCAATATCATTTTCTAATTGTTTTCTTGCAACAATAGCTGAATTACGTTCATTTGTAATATTTTTTAATTCTAATTGTATTTGTTCAACATTCATTTGTTGTAATTGTTCAATATATGATTGTTCAGTTGATCTTAATTCAAAATTATTTTGGTCTAATAATTTAATATCACGTTCTAATTCAGATTGTTTAACAAGAAGTTTTGTTTCATTATCAATTAATTGTTGTAATTTATTATCACGTTCAATTAATGTTGAACGTAATAACTCAATTTCTTCAGATTTTTTCTTTTCATGATATAATAAACTTTGATAATTATTTAATTCATTTTGACATTGTAAATAAGCTTCATTTTTTTGTTGAATTAATGATTGTACAGATTCATTATCAATTTGTAATTGACTATATTTTGTATTAAGTTCATTATAAAGTGAAAGAATACGTGTATATTCATTATAATATGATAAAGATTCATCATGTTGTCGTTTAGAAAATTCTACTAATTGATCGTACTCAGAACGAAGTTTTTCATATTCATCTTGTGTATGAACTTCTTCAAACTAAACGGATAAGAAATACATTTTAGTCATAGAATTGGGCAAATACCAAAGACTGCCGTAAGGATAAATTAAAATAGTTTGCTCTGCTAACATCTTTTTTTTCCATAAAAAGTCATTTGGAAAGATTCATTAAATGCAAAATTGAATCTTTCAGAGTATGTATCATCTATGTTATTCCACCAACTAATGAGGATTTCATGTTTTCGACCCGTTTCATTAGAACATATGTATGTGATACTGATTCTAATTCATTCTCGTTCTATGTGAACTCTTTCGATTTCGACAAGATTCAATACTTCTGATCAAACTATAAGCACTTTAGCAAATAATCAAGAAAAACAAAAGAAGGAATCTCAACCTGTCTACTAAATGATGATACTCAGTCACAAAGAATCTCTGTTTTTACTCTCGTATATCTTGTTTTTTTTATATTCCTTTGTCAAGAATAAATTACAATGACACTATTTTTTACTCGATTATAATCTGATTTTTATACATGAATAATATTCTTTTGAAATGACTCAAAAAAGGTATGATCAAAATTTTTTCGTTAAGTTACCAAGTCATTCCATACTCATCCTCAGTTTATACGTCCTGAGGATGTGCTGCCTAGTTCGACCTTAAAGGCAGGGCAGAGCGAAAACAGCGTCCGGTGACGATTTCAGGCAAGTGCAAGTACATACTTGGAAGATCTGTAACCTATGATGCAAAAGTAATTCCTGAAATTTCTCTTTCTAACAAGAAAACTACCGAATCTCTGTGACGAATTGTTGTCACGCAATGCTAAAAATAAAATTAATGTAGATCT